TAATTGATCATTCTAAACAATTTCTTTACTATTTCAAAAAGAAAAATCTCAACCCTCAACATGGGAAAATCTCTCTTCCTCTTTTCTCTCCATTTTATCCTCCTTATATCTCTGTCCTCTCAGGACCCGAACCCGAACCCGAACCCGAAGCCACCGACAGAAGCCCACACGGAGCTCACAAACTACGGATTCCCAATCGGGCTACTGCCGTCCTCGGTGAGCGGGTACTCCCTGAACCAGACCTCAGGATCGTTCTCGGTGGACCTCGGCGGCGCGTGCAGGATCACGCTCCCTCCAGACAACTACTTGGCCACCTACTCGAAGAAGATTACCGGAAAGATCGTGAAGGGTCGGATCGTGGAGCTTGAAGGAATCCGGGTCCGAGCCTTCTTCAAGTGGTGGTCAATCACGGGAATCAAGTCCAGTGGGGATAATTTAGTGTTCGAGGTGGGCATGGTCTCTGCTAAGTACCCATCTAAGAATTTCGATACAAGCCCCGACTGTGAAAGGGAAGCGCTCTGCTTCTTAATTTGAAAGGTAAAATTCAACTATTTTTTTTTCTTTTCTGTAAATTATGTCATTTGAGGATTTCTTGTTTGAGTTATGGATTTTGGGTTTCTTATCTATTGGAAAGCGATGTAAAAAGGGCAAGAAAATGTAATTGAAGATTGATGCTTTTTTCTTCCCAAATAAAATGAGGAAGTCAGACGATTGAATATCTGAAATATCAAATATTCTTTATTATTTGTTCTCTGGGTTTCAATTAAGAAGACAAATAAGGAGATTTAGCTTCAGATTTTATAATTATTAATGGGTTTTAAGATATTTACCATTAAGTTTCCAATTGATTTTTATTATTAATTTTCTAATTCTGGTTCTAATATGTTACTGTTGTTAGTAGGATAATGTATAATAAGTTATTAAACAATGCACAGCTTCTTGGATTTATGTGTTGATGCTGCAATTCTTCTGTTCCCCTTTAGTTACAGAACTTTTTAAAATTGCGTTTTTAGTTGGATCTTCTTACTATCTTAATTGTCAAGTCTCTGTCCCTTTGTGTTGATAAGAGTAGAGGTGTATAGTTTGAGGACTCTTCAAGTACTCTTATTCTGTTCTTACTTTGTTTATTTTGGAAATTTTTATTCTCGAATAAAATGGGTTGGATTGATATTAGTCTGGATACAGCAAAATAATTCTATTAGATATAATATACCTATTGGATCTAATAAAAATTAAGTACTTTTTGTTAGAATTGTGAAATTTTGTAGCTCAAATCTTTGATATTCTTTTATTTATTACTTGTACCTATTATTTAGACCGAGTACCATCATCCAAGAGGTATCCACCGAAGAAGATTTTTTTTCCTTCTATTTTTTCCTTTCCAGTCACTTTGATCTCTTCCGTTTCGTCGATTTTGTCTGGATCCTGCCTTTCCTCCAAAGTACATGTTCATTTCACTTGTTGTTACCTAGTTTATTCATATGCTCAAACTGTGATTTTTGGCTTCTTAAGCTTTCGCGGTTATGAATTTTGAAGATGATATTAAGTTATACATAGATATGCAGGCATGCCTTCTTATACATATTTTACCTATTTTAGCTTCTGAGTAGTGAACACGTACCATTTTCTTTAATGAAGAAATTATTGTAGTATAATGGATATACAATGACATGATATCTCCTTTTATTTTTGTTGGAAGAAAGACATTAGAGTGACTGGTAAGATTTTTGAAGTTAATTATAATTACCAACAATAATAAAAGTTGATGCTACATTTGTGGATTAACCTGATTTGATTAGTTTGGTTTATATATTAGTGGATTCTGTTATGTTAATCCCTTTGTAAATTTAATTATAGGAATTAAGTTTTTTATCAGAGGCAAGGTTTAGTTACTTAATGTTCAAGTTAGGATCTGATATTTTGGAAGCTGTTGTCAATGAGAATCCATTTGGTTAACGTAAAAAAAGAACTTGGGGGAACTGGGTTACATATACCCAATCTAGATGTACTTGGTTAACTCATAAGTGGATAACCAAATCAGATTTTGTCGACTGTATAGCCATCTGAATCGATCAGTCTGGATAGACTTTAATCGATAGAGGTTCAGTTTTCTGGGGTTGATAGATTTTCTACTTTGGTGCAATATAAATTATTGATTGACAAACTTAGCTGCTATTTTGAAAATGTCAGGAGGATCCTGAAAAATTGTTTGGTAGAGGCAAGGGGGTCTTTTCCAGTCGATGAACAAATTAATTCCCTTTGCTAAGAGGGATAGATTTGAGTTACTCCTCCCTGGTTCATTAACCAACTGCAGATTATGTAAGAGCTTAGTGTTAAATAATAAAATTGTGACTAATCATTCTAAAAATTTAAGCTGATGAGAAATGGTGTAGTATATTATTTGTAAATTAATATAATCTTCCTATGCTGAGGTGCGCTAGGAATCAAGTACAAATTCTCTTTATCTTGTGCTAAAAATAATTTAATATAAATTAGAGGT